GCTTAAGGGTGTTTAAAAATACGGTATTTAAGTAAAACCGTTGAACTGAATCGTTAGAAAGTTACAATTTTAAAACTTGTTTGTCTTTGTGACTCAAAAGTATTTATGGTGGGAATAATCTGAGCTTGACCAGTTTTATAATGGACGCTGATAATATCTCTCGCTTTCGACTCAGGCAGAATCAGTGTCCAAACAAACACATATTTATTTTCCCTATTGAATCAGCCAAAAAGGGTTTTATTTAATCAGCAGCCATCTTTTTCATCCACATCACCAGGAAATGCACTGGCGTGTAAAGATTAAACTTTTCAGCATCCTAGATAATCAGGCTACCCACTCCGTCTAGGTGCGTATACGTGTTTCACACAGGGAGTCTGGTAACGTCTAGACAACGCCATGTTTGACATTTCTAAGAGTCTCTGTAGCTTGGGGCGTTATGTCTCTAACAAGCCCACTGTTTGTTGTTACCTGCCGCTTTTGTTTCCGTTCGACCGCAGAGAAGACAAGCAACCGCCAGAACGACCTCGGGGAAGGTTGGATTCTTGTAATGGTAGGAGACTTGAAAGAATACTACATGACGTTAGTTACCGCATGTTGCACGGGACTTATTGAGTTGTTTGTTTTGTGCGAGCAGCCGCTCAGACGTTAAAGATGACCAATAATGAGCAACGATTTATCAATAAATTTTTAAATGCAAACCTGTTATACATTGTCACTTTACATCTGTCACTTTGAATATAACTGTCTTCGATTAGAGTGTCGTATGGCATTTTTTTATCATAAAATTATTGATCATATTAATTGAACTTTTTATTGTCTTCCATTACAATTTACGAGCTTATTGTTAATACAAGTCAATTAGATCCAGATCAACTCCATTTCAAATAGCTTCCACTGAAGTTTAATGCAAATGACATGAATGACAAATATAGGTTTTCCAGGCCAGTGTCAGAAAATGTGAATTCGTTTTCGAGCGAAAATGGACCAAATATTCAAATCCCCGTTTCTATTTAAAAAAAATTCTATTTCAGTGAGGGTGCACTCAGTCGTGTAAATGTCTCTATATTGCACTGTTTTAGAATATTGACATTCATTTTTGCGCGAAATCGAATGCACCTCTGCGATCCCGCATCTTAATTTGAACTTAATCTATTTCGCAAATACATGTGCAGGCAATTTCGCGCGAAGTGTTATTTAAGATATGCCTGGTCAAGAATTGGAATTCGTTTGTGTGCTGACAGAAGTTATATTCTTAGAAGTGTTTAGTTGATGGGTTAAATGTTTGAATATTCATGACTGAAATAGACCATTCATGTTGTCTTTAAAACATACCGATTGTTACGAATCCTATATACAAACATGGACGCTGAGGCAACCTTTTCTTCTCGTGCTACGTTTTTGCCACAATAACAGTTCACACATGGCCTTATTGCAATGCATACTGAACGAAAAGATAAAGTTTGGTAACAAACACACTATAATCTTTCATTAGTAATATTACATTCATTATTAAAGTAGTGTCATGATTTCTGTAACCTTGTATATTTGTAATCAAATTGGACTCAAATTTCGTGAATTTGAATTACAGCAAATGAAAATAAATACTCAATACCGACGGTTTGCAGTAAAAGGCAGATTTTCGGTGAATAGAATTGCACACTGGTTACAATTTCCAACGAATACGTCAAATCGAAATCCCAATCACTTATTTGTAACCTCTTAAATGAAACATAATGCACATACATTTTCTTGACGGACGCAAAACGAAGTCGAAAATGTAACCAGGTTTTCAGTTGTTTTAAAATTGAAATTTTATTTTACAAATTAAACAGCGCATTTTCAAAAATTGGCCCGGAAAACCTATAATAACAAGCTTAGAAACGTCACGACACGTTTCCAATTTTGCACGGAATGACCAAAAATGAAAATAAAAAGGCATGTGAGTGCAGATCACGGACGTGTATAATAAAATCTGGACTCGCAATGGCCTTATTCAGCATATAAAGATCATTGAATCCACTCGCGGCCATTTTACCGAGCCGAATACAAAGCTTTCCTGGCAATGCCCGCCTTTGTTCTTCCCGACGTCAATAGCCAACCCACGCCTTTGTATTCGGCTCGGTAAAATGGCCGCTGGTTGGCTTCTTGTTCATGCAAAGGCGTTGCAAGTCCAGGTTTTTTTATATACGTCCGTGGTGCAGATACGGGCAAGCAATATTATAGGTGGCGCTCTTTATGATGAGAACTTTAGCGTAATGCATTTGCACCACGTATCCCATTACACCGACGTCTGCAAGTCTGAATTAAACAGTTGCTTGCTTTTAAATTCAAAGTTAATGATGCCGAAATTCTCCAGGGAATTCGATTAAAAACATTTCCTTGGTAGTTTTGCAGATCAGTTACTGATTGTGCTGGTTGCAACAAGCATGGACACTCTCTGTGCGGGGAGGGAGGCCTGTATATTCCGATTAGCTGAAGACTTTTTAGACGCTTGGTGGCGGCAAACATACCGGACCCACAGAAGTGCATTTAAGCCATTTAAGTGTACTCCAGTCGTATTTAATTTTGTGTGTTCCGGTTAAAATGGTATTTGAGAGTCTTCTTAATGCTTAAATGCAAACTCAGAAGGTCAATGACCAGATCGAAAAGTGTCACCTGAATGGTTCATGGCATACTTGCTTCTGTGTCGCATTGATCTCAGAATTTTGGCAGCTTTTCGCTTTACATGGTCGGCCTGTGTTCTGTCTCCTTACTCGACGTGGGTAGCAGATGTTATGGTGCTGTCCAGACCAGATCCCCAGGTAGAGTGGAGACATTTGTGGCGCACAAACGGGTTCGAACAAACCCCCAGCGTCTCGACACCCTCAGACATAGCCAGAGCGATTACATTCCGCTGCGTTGGGTGGCGCGCCGCGGCGGCCATTTTGAAGCGAAGCACCTGGACCAGGAGATGACAGAAACGGTTCGTTGGAAAGTTCCAGTGCCACTGACCGAGAGTTCTTTGATTTGAACTTGGCCTATTGACCTGTTCGTGGTCAAAAGGTCATACAGTCCGTGCACATAGCCACGCTATATAAGAAACTAAATGTAGAAGTTTAAGTCAGCTTAAGAAAAATGAATACAAGCAATTTAAAATCTTTCTTGGAGAAATATCGAGAGACAGGGCACTGGTTAAAACCTAGTGACGATGTCTTATGGGCACCACTTATATATGTTTGTTCAAACTGAGTTGACAAGATAATCTCAGTGAGAACTAAAAGCATTCTAAATAAACCCGTTGTTAAAATACCAGTTGTGCCAGAGATTGGCCAGAGTTGTAATGACTCGAGTCCGTGACTCGACTCGAGTCAGACCGAATCGAGTCAGACTCGAGTCCGTCATCAGGAGACCTGACTCGAGTGAAATGTAATAAGACTCGAGTCCCTAAAATAAAAGCAAACTTCTTTGAAAAAAATGTTCATGTCGTGTTATACCATCAAGAGTAAGATGTGTGACCACATGCAGAAACCTTGACATCAATTTAGAAATACTAAAAATGACTTTCTTTCTTGTTTTTAATTATCGTATTGTGTTGACATGTTGGTGACTCGACGTGACTCGCGAATCGACTTGTTTGCCTAACAATTCAACTCGAGTCACAAAAACTGGCAACTCGTTACAACTCTAAAATTGGCAATATGCCTGCATTATCCACCGTCTGCCTTCATAACTGCACGTCCGCGGGGGTGGGGATAACGCGACGGTTAACTCTATAGGTTTTATTTCCCCTATTCTGAACAGCGAAATTACCTGGTTCTCTCCTTTCTGCTCTTCATATGTGGGCATTATACGAGTTAAACCGCCACCGATTTCTTCCCAAATTTACGACCAGAAATGTAGAGCCACTGAAAATCTGCATGAAACTTTTACCTGTCTTCTGTTTCTGTAATAAAGCGAATGATTAGAACTGGCCAGATGTTTTGCGCCGAGACGTTGTCGGCAATTACCGGGGGTCCCTGGCGGTCGTTCGGCCCTGGGGGCAAAACAGCACGTACCACTCCGGTACAATGACCGCTGAAGTTGCCCTTGGTTCTCTTGAGCAAGAAAAATGATATAACAAGTACACACAAACCGTTCAAAGATATTTTTGTAAGACGTCAAGTGTTGTACTGCGGTTTGGACCATAGGGCCAGTTCATTCTATAAATTCTTGTATCAACTTTATGGAAAATTTGTCAGTTCTTTTTAAATCAATGTGTGATGTAATATTGCACTGGTAGTTGTCGATGGTTAAAAAAAGTTTGGACGTTTGAACTACGTTTTATTGTAAAGATTCCGTCCAATAGTGTGTGATCAGTTCAATCAAAGAATGTCATTACTTGATCTTACTAGGGATGTTTAATTTTCATCTGGTAAAATACAGATAAATTCCGTATTGGGTAGCGTTTTAGGAAAACACTGGTGAACTTAATATCAGTGCGACTACTTTTCCTGTAAGATAAACACCAGCTCAGCAAACAAAAGGAGTCAGTCGGCCTTAAATCTTAAAGAAAAAGAAAGAAATGACCAGTTTTATATTAATTGATTAAAAATTCAGCTCTACGATCAGGCAAGAGATTTGAAATTATTAGGTTTATGTTGTCAATCTTGACGCCCCGTTTTTTTTCCTGTTGCTATCTCCTGGAGTCAGCCACGAAACTTAGTTTGAAAATTATTATGAAAAGACTCCGTAATTTATCGAACACGGGAAAATCGATAAACACATGAAAACCAAATGGGGGGTTTATTGCGGCCATTGACTTTCTCCCGGAAAGTTTCGGCTATCAGGTTCGCGAAAGAATTTTTCGACGCACTTTGCCCCAATTGCACGAAACAATTGAGCATATAACCGAATTAGCCGGCCATTGTGTTGAAGGAATTTGGCTTCGGTTGCCAAGCATACCTTCGTCTATTGTTCAACCTCTGGCATTATCAAAGGATGGGCACGTTTCGAAGGAAATAGCTGTCATCAGTGGCCATGCCACAAGGGAGTGCATACTTCCGCAACCTTTGTAGCCGAAGACATCGCCATACCGCAGCTGTGCTGAGTATTTTGAAAACACATGGAGCTGAATAAAAGTAACTGGGGCGATGGCTCGTGTGCGAATGGGCCCGCAGCCTACTGCCCAACCGTAGATTTCAACTTGTGCTATACTAATGACGAAGTCTCCAGTCATCGGCTGCAGCGAACGCTGAGCGACGACATCACTTCATGGCAACTCCCTGTCATTTCTGAGGACCAGGGAGGTTTGAGTGACGACACTGGTTGGGGTGGAACATATTTGAGGCCCGTCTCTCCTGCTTCAGTTCAAGTCACTGCTCAATGGACATTACCGGATTCTTTTAAGTTTCAAAGAGCTACTTCAGCACCGCAGACGGGTTTGAATACACCCTCGAATACCCAAATTGCGATTGATGCTTGGTCGACTCCACCCCCACCACCATCAACGCTGCCACAGCAACCGCCACCATCGTCATCATCTTGGGTACTGTCCTCTTCGATAGCACTACTCCAGCAGATAGCAGACTCGACCACGGTGGTAAGCAACGCTGGCACAGTCGCTGACCCGAGCACACGTGGGAGTCGCGTGTTTACAGCCACCCAGGCCAGGGCCGACGTCTCGGACCCAGCATGCATTCACACTTCGCCCGCTGTCCCATGTGTCCCCGGCCCACCTGACTCCTCCTTCACCGGTGCTGCCCGCTTGGAGGCGCCTGGGTCCGAAGAGATGCCCTGCATCCACGAGGAGACCTGTGTGATGACTGAGACATTCGCCGCGGAGGACAGTCGACCCAGAAGCATTGTTGACAACTGGCCAAGAGACATCTCCAAACCCGCAGTCGTGTTCCCAAACCACAACCCAACCTCCAGTGTCGACATGTACATCGAAGTGGACAGTCAAAGCGCCGGTGCTGAAAGCATAAATCCAGGGAAAGCAGCTAAGACAAGCGAGGCCATATCCAAGAAAAGTTACTTTTTGAGGCGCGAGGACAAAGACAGGGAAGTTGCACCTTCAGAAACTGCGTCGACGGGACAGATTTCTCGACCAGGCATAGAATCTGAGGAAACGCATGAGAGAGAAGTTCCTGAACCTGTCCAGAATGAGGGACAAGTTGATAAACCTACCAAAAGAAGGTACGAAAAGTGTCACGGGAGAATCAGGAAAGACTCGCCGGAAAGGAAGAGGTTTGCGCGTACACCCCCACCGATCACTAGAACTCCTCACCCAGCTGCACCAGAGATCCCAGGCGCTGTACCCGGTCCAGTGCGGCCGGCCTTACCGTCTGCAATCAAGGCAATACCTCTCCAAGTTCAGCCGCTCGACTCTCGGCCCTTGTCCCCGATATCCCATTTGAAAATCCCGGACCCGGCACTTCCCATCAGCTCTGTATCCACATCAAAACCTAAAGACTCTCGAGTTCCATCTACAACTCATAAATCAGGGTACTCTAGTGCACTTTGGGCCCAAACTGTTACAGATGTACCGATCCGACCTGTGCCCATCACCGGCTCGCTACGGCCGTGCATGGCCTCGACTCACCCACGGTATCTTCCCCTGCCGCCCGTTCAATTTCCACCCCAGCCCCTGCTCCCAATTCCATTGCCACCGTTGGCAGCGCTGACTGGTGCACCTGTAACTTTCCTCCACCCTGGTTTTCCTGTAGTCTCGGGTCATCCAAACCAAACCTGCCCACCATTCACGACTGTAGGCCTGCCTCATCATGCTGGACTCTCGGCGGTTACTGTGCCGATTTTTAAGCGACCGCAGCTCCTCCCGAAGCTGGCCCCGGTCGGACCAGACCCCGGGGCCCTGCGTCAGCGATATGGTGCTCCGGTCGCACCGCCCACTAGACGCCAAGCACGCCGGCGGCGGAGCTCGAGCGACTCGCAGCCCGCGGAGGACGGACCAGAGGCGCACCAGGCCCGGAGGAAGCAGGCCAATGCGAGAGAGAGGGAAAGAGTGAACCATCTGAACGCAGGCTTTGAACATCTGAGACGAGCACTGCCGTGGATGCATCATGGCAGACGGGTCAGCAAAGTAGACACTCTCCGTGCAGCCATTGACTACATCAATCATCTCCAAAGACTGCTGTGGGAGGCCGACACTGCAAGTTATCTCAGTGAAACAAGATCTATTGGTAAGAATTAAGCAGACGGATTTTTCTTTTCAATTGAGAAAGTACAGTGGGGCAAAAATTCAAGCCCATTTTTATCATGTGTAAACTTAAAATTGGTCATAGACAAAAACGTGCAGAATTCTGTATCGGACCATCACAATTTTCAAGTGTCATAAACACCAACTATTGATTTCAGGAAGGAACGTCTGTTAATTTTTTTTTTGGGGGGGGGGTACGGGAAATTTAGCGAGAAAGGAGATTCAGCACCAAGATTAACAGGTTTAAAAACTAAGGCAAACTTGTTGGTTTACACTAAAAAATTGTGACGGTTTGATGTTGAATTCTTTCCGATCACCACCTTGAAGTAAATTATTATTTTACGAAACAAAGAAAGAAGTAGCTCAAAATTGGAGAGTCTGTTCTTCCTTTTGGACAAGAAATTAAGTCATTGCCACTTTGTACTAACGAGAACCATTGAATTAGAGGCAAGATTAAAATGTAAGTTTATTCGCGTGCAGAATACATACGATTATGAGAAATTACAGCAAAAAAGTTTGATTATCGGCTTAAGTTTATGATTGGCGTCAACCACAATCTGAAATGCGGTTCCAATGACCAGGTGTATCTTGGTTAATTTTAAAATCTGCCAGGCCTATGGAGTATTACGAAATCGAAAATGTCACTGTTACTTTAAGACTTTTTGTGATCATATACCATCCTATATGCAGTGTTTGTTCGCTGCCATTACTGGAAGTTTTCATCAAAGGCAATTAGGGACTATTTTTTCTCATTATGGGTGCAGCTCAAAAATCTAATGCACGTACTTAAATTACAGTAAATATCGTGAGTTGTGCTGTTTGATCGTTACAAAACTCGGGATTAACGCCACGAAGACGCACAAAGAGGTTTCCTTAATTCCAGGGAAACTATTTAGTCGCTAAAAATGGTGTTCTGACTCGCAAACTTCACAGCTTTGTACTGTGAAAAGTCGTTCAGACTGTTTAGTTAAGCAGCGCAACTATGTCGTACATTTTAAAAATCTACTGAAGGTTGTGACCCCAGTCGTTCTTACAGATTGAGTGAATTGTGCATCTCAATATGAATACCTACATTTACGGGCTACTCCAGACCCATACGTTCCATAAGCTCCCGTCCAACCACAGCTTCTGTCCCGAAGCGAGTTGTGTACCGATTACCTCGGCGCAGGGACCGGCGCAGTGCCAGCACCAAATAAGCCGGCACCCGAGGGTCAGAAACACGGCTAATAGTCTCAACTGCAATTCGCGTTTCTGTCGCTATGTGTGAAATTTTACAGAACAGAAGCAGGACTGTGTGTTTTTTTCCAGAGCAAAAACTAAAAAAATATTCTTTCTGTTTCATGTTATATCAGAAATAAAAATGAGTACCTGGCCGACGTTTGCCAATGTACTCACATTTCGCCCCCGCTGTACAATCTTTTTTCAGCGTTTCTAAGTTTTTTTTTCTGCAGACAGTGTTCAGCTATACTCTCGAACCAGTTTCTTTTGTTCTGTAAATGCACTGATCTTTGAGGGGGAAAATGCGTGCTGGTAAAGTTTAATGTTGGGGTAATCATTAAATCAACAGCAAAATGTAAATGTTAGCAGCTTAACAGGTTTGCAACGATTATGTGACCAGAAATGCGGGAGAGGTGCTTCATGCTTATGACGAATATAATTCTGAGGGTGGAAATAATCGTAAGCGAGAAAAGGAATTTATGACGAGAGGCGTGTAAATCCATGTAGTCTGTGTCAAAGACGGTGCTATTCGATACTTGTTCCGTGTGCAAAGACCTACACTCTCACATTCACCCGAAACCGAGCGGCGCCGGGTGCAGTTTACACTAATCCTGTACTGCCGAGCCATAAGTCGAGGGAATCGACACTGCATGCGTCGAGAAGCACAAACTATTTCAGAGTCGATTAAAGTAGGGAACAGAAACACTTGCAAAGAGTGTAGGCCTAAACAATTTTCCTCTGAAAACAAAACAAAATAAATAAACAAACAAAGTTCTTGGAACCAAGACCAACAGATTTCCTGATCGATCATGCTCCTATCCGAATCCAACAAAATCAAACAAGAGACTTGTAAAAATGTGAAACCCGCTGCATGCAATAAAACCTAACAGGTGGATCCGTTGCTCTTTTGTTTAATGCCGAGATCGAACAAATGTTACTTTAACGTCAACACCCTTTTAAGCAATTAGAATTAAAATAAGATAAAGAATTCTATATCATGTCCAGGTATTTTTTGAAATATGTTTTAAATTCGTTCTGGCTAGCTGTTACTTAAATGGTATATTTGTAATAATTCTTTAAAGTACATTATAATTTGGAGTTAGGCCTTTAATCTTTTTTTCATCGGCGTGTTTTGAGCAAACGTATTTAGCAATTCAGGGCTGTACTCCCAAAAGGACCACAAGGAGTGATGTATGTACAATATTTTATATAAGACAGGGTTATATAGACCAGCTTTGCTGTGCAATCGTGTCGTTACATTTTTTTCAAGAGATATCTGTTAACATTTCATGCCATAAAGAGTTCTTTCCCTTTTTGTTGATCACAATAGGGTCCAACTTCCCGACCAATGATATGTGCAAATATGTTCACCCTCATCAGCACTACCCACAGTTCGGATACCTCCGAACGAACTTCACATTTGCAGACAGTATCTCGAGAACGGCCGCCGAGACGGGCAGTCGGCTGGAGCTTGGACCGCCCCCAGCCAAGGTTGGTGGAAATATTCCAAAATGAATAACCCTAGCCATGTCCTATCAACAACATTCTATGCAATTTACAATACTGAGTAAAGTATTTTTATATGTCTTCACCTGATGATTCTTTAACATCCAAAGACACTGTTTTTGTATTGAAATTGACAATGCTACAAAGAAAAAATCATCAATATCTTGAATTGGAAATACGGGAAATATAGTGATTGAATTTTAGTCCTATAGATAAATTTCAAATTTAGCGACAGAATGTTGAGGATTGGCCTGGCATTGCATTTTTGCATAATACACACAGATTTTATTAACGTTAAAACAATATTTTAAACTTGTATGAGGTCTTTTTTTATTTGGAGCATATGAAAGCACTCGTGAATCATGTTTGAAATATGCGTCAGTCATAAATATCCTGGACCTTGGTTTCCTGCGCAGCATGCGTAAGAGTGCATTCATACCAAAGTGTTATTTATACGAAAAGCAAATACTATCGAATGTTCTTAAAGTCGCATTCATTGATGCATGGTTTCACAGCTAGTTGGCAAGAGTACGTTGATGTCACGACTGATTACAAAATAACTGCACATTACCTTCAATTATTAACTCATTTGGTTGAAAACAATTCGCTAACACATTTCCATTTTTAGATTAATTAACAGCCTTTAGTCTTAATTCAAATTCTCTGGTACTCGCGGAAATAAATGAGTAATGTGACCTTATCCACCAAATAACCCTACTTTAGTGTCAAACTATAAACAAGATTTATGGACAGACATTATTTCTGGAAGTTACGCTTTGTGTGAACATGAAGCTAACAAACATCGCAAAATCTTTGGAGTCTTTCTGTATGCCGCTTTCACACTGACGCAGTAATTCAGCATAGTGCAAGTTTCCGCAGACAGGTTGTATGGAAGCTAAAAATAAAACATTTCTGGCATTTTTATAACCAGTTCAGTGGAATTTTCCAGAAGAGGGACTCAATACTAGCTAATACCGTGCAGACAAGGACTCATTATGAAAATATGTTTTTTATCTATAGATTAAAAATATTTTTCTATAGGAAAACAGTCATTGGGACCACTGCCTTGTTAAGTGGCTAGCGTATGGATTTTTGGCGTTGAGTTCGTCAACGGTTGCCCAGTTCGCCGTGGTATAAAGTCTGTAAATGCTGAGATGGGATGGCTTAAATTTGTCGTATCGTTTGTACGTGGCAATTGGATTTGGGTGCTCAAAGGCTCCAAATTAAGTACATTATTTCACTGTCTAGAGGGTTCATATACATATAATAAATGTCATAACTGGCTTGTAATTTCTTGTAAATCTATCCGATGCGACATATTCACAGTAGTAAGCAATTAAAAAAAATTATAATTGTTTTATACACTGAAACAGGAATACTTTTCCTGAAGACGAAAAGAGGCCACTGTTCGAATCGTCAAGACCATTTCTCATCAACGGCCTTTCTGAGAGCCAACAAATTTTCTTCCTGTGAGAGACTGCGTCATTGTGTACCCGCAAACAACACCTCTCTAGAAACGGCTGTTGCCAGTTTTCTTTCTGTTTTTCTCCCTGTTTTAAGTAGAATTTTTCTTTTGATATCCTTCTGACGGATTGTATTTTATTCTTACAGTGCCTTACAATATTTAAAAAGAATCGCTCGATGGTTTGAATCGATTTCTGACAATCTTGGGCAATGCATCTTTAAGGCGTGTTATCACAAGACGGAAAACCTCAACGTCTCGAATAAGAGACGAATGGAAGCTAGAGGTGGGATGCTCTCAGACCTATTGGGCGCTTCCCTGTGGTCGTCCAATCAAAGTTGAGGGGGTGCACCTGTTTTTTGGCAAGGAAGCCTCGGCTTAATTTGCTTGTTTGCCGCTCAATGGACAACATCTGCAACCGGCGGCAAGCTGCCCCAAGGGTCAACGCGGTGGCCACCCCTTGTGGCAAATGGTATCATCTATAAACAATAGTAATAAAAACGAATCGAGGAGGATGCCATCAAATATATCAACATTTTGAGGGGTAATGTTAGTTGTCTAGTCACGAGGTTCAAAGTGGTTCATCGGGATTACCTTTTCTGGCTTCTTTTCCATAGACTTTCGTAGGATCTTCACCCCTTTGGGGTGGGATCCTCACTTCGGCTTGCTCCCACTTAGAGAAACATCTGTATACCCCCTAGTAAGAGACTGCCGAGGGAAAAATTACTATCAAATTGCAAATAACCTCCTCTCGGTTCCCATGCAAGGTTTCGGTGCAATCAGGAACTCTTATGGCTGCTCGAAGTCTTCAACTTTTTTTCAAAATAACAAATATACAAAGTTGATTAAAATAAATTTATCTGATCATTTTTTACAGGTGCTATATTCTAGGGCGTTTTGTTTAATCGTTATTATCCAAATGAGAAAATATGATTTTTTTCGTCGTCTATTGCCATATACATGCTCCTGCTTGATCTGTGCAAAAGCGAAAAACCGAGACAATCGAATTTTCAAGAAGTAAATGCATTTCTTGAAGTTTTTTTTCTCTTGGCAAATCATTAGTAAATCATCTGAAAAAGAAATACTTGTCGAGCAAACTGTTAAAGAAATATCGTTTTATAGGAATATTTTCCTTTTAACGCGTAATCTTCACACCATCACCTGCAATGTCTCTCTCTCTCTGTGTCTCTCTCTCTCACATACCGCCGGCCTGGCCGTATATTCCTTTACATTGGAACGAATCTTTTAAATTGGACCCTGAGCGTGCAATGTACATGAAAAACTGCCTACTTAAACTCATTTTCTATTTAGGATGTATCTATTTGTAACCCGTAACACTTAAGATGTGAGCTTCTATAATGGTAACCTAAGTGGCGATAAAATGTGCACAAAGATTGGTTTTAGTTACCAAAGTTTCTTTAACTGATCTGTAACAGTAATCAACAATATTTTTCGATTTACTCTTTTCTAAAATCCCATTCAAATGACGAGAAATCGAGAGTCTTTGGAGTAAAAACAAATTGTCATTGTTTCCATCACTTGGGCGGAGTTATCCGAAAGGCAAACTGGGCCACACGCCGACCTCTCCTGTCAGCCCACGAGGTTCGCGTACCCTTAGCATACCGGCCATTCCGAGTCGATGTGTTCTCCCAGCCCCCCGGTAGGACGACAGCTGCCTCGTACGGCTGACAGCGGGCAGTGAGGGGCGTCCGCTGCGCGCTAAAATGTGACCAATCGATTGTCTTTAAAGGGATCACATGAATGACTAAGCAAATCTCCGTGTAAAGTATGAAGACATTTTGCTCTCCATGGCTATAAATTTGGCCAGTTCGGTTTTTAGTAAGAATTTTTCACTGTGAATTTATAAACGGATTACAGTTTCACCTCTCCTTTGGCAAGAATTTATGTGGCTAGTGAAGCATAATTTTACACGTTAACAGAATTAGACCAATAAAGAATAAAATCGCCACCTATGGATTTTAGAAATTCCGTAATTAACAAAACTTTCGATCGGATTGTACGTGTGGTTTTAGCCTTTACAGAAAAAAGAGGGGGAAGGTTGAAGGTTTCATTCAATATCTTTTCTAATCTTACGGAAAAATAAAGCAATGCGTGTACCTGTATTAATTATTAGTACAATGTATTCCCCTATGTAAAGTTGAATGTAACCCTTTAGGATTTACCGAAAAGCCATTCTGATTGCTGAAATGCCGAATAGGAAAGGAACATTTGGACCTTGATAAGAAGTTTCCTGAGAATCATCGTTATGAAAGATGAAAAAGTAATGACTGTTTTCGACTTAAAACTGTATAAAAATGAAAGAGTGAAACTATGGGACTTAACGTTTTTAGAGTAAATATCACTCTGAATTTACTTTGATATAATTGAAAACGAACCCCTTCCAGTGTAAGATCGGGATAAATCTCAATGTATTTCATGAATTCAGTTTAACTGGAATTTGTCTCGTCCTATAGTTTCAATCCGAGGATAAAAGATATTCACTGGAATGGAGGGAAATTTCTCTCTTTAGACTTTGGAGACTTCACCGTCCAGCTCTTTTTGAAAGTTTACAGAAAGCGGTACCAAAGTTGCTCACTTTAAACCGTTACTTTCCTGAACAATGCAGGAAATCGACCCCTTCAAACAAAATGTGACAAATTGGCGCCAAATTCGTTTTACTAATTGCCCAATCAGCACCCATCGAACACCAATTTCTTTGGCCTTCCTCGCACCCGTGGGGCCTCAGTGACTCCCCGACACGATGCGACACCTAAGAAATTCTGCCTGATTATTTTACAGGAACACTAAATAACATGGCAGATGTTTCCTCGCCGTGAATCACTCGCCCCAATCCCCCTGCCGTCCAAATGCGCCCGCCGTGGCGGGCAGTCAACAAATATCTGATTGCCAACATGGCAGGAGCTGCGAATGTTCGGGCCGACTTGATAAATTTCATTATCACCTGCACATGTTTTGGGTGATGAAGGTCTCTCCTTTGATTTGACATTTCAGTTTGCTAGTTCGCCTGCCGTTTATGCCAAGAAAAATACTTGTTATGCAAGATTCTGAACAGAAAAATATTCCATCCTTATGTTATGGAAAGCGGTTAAAACAAAACAAAGATACAAACGAAAGAAAGCGCAAAAGTTATTACTGAAGGAAACAAATTCGTTCACGGGAACAGGCAAATTAATTTGTGGAATGTTTCTTTATGTATAAAAATCACTCATCAGTGGTGCTTTTTTGTTTGATCTCGATTAGAAATCACTTGTTTGCTCAAATAAATTGATTGTGGGAAACAACGGGCAAGATATATTCCTATGCATGCAGTCGACAATCCTGAAAAAAGGCCAACTTTTTCACTTAAATTTGGGTGTAATCACGAGGATTTCTTTATTGAGATCTTTTGCCAACCTGGCTTAAAAAATCAGTCTGGTATCCGTTTAAAATATTTGCAGCAGGCTGCAAAACCCGACTTTAATTCGTAGTACAGGTCAGGCCAGCATCTTCAAGGTACATCGACACTGTGAAGTAATGTTAGAAGAAATTTTGTTGTCTTCAAGCCTCGAGGCCTCCACAGTTCGTGAAGCTTCTACGGAAGTCATTCACTCCGTGCGAGATGTAACTCACAAGCCCATCAAATATGACCCCCTTAGTCGAGATTGATGAACTCCGAGCGAACTCCAGGTGCTTGACTCAGTCCAGGAGGAGTTGAGGAATGCCTATCCTCCTCCCCGGGCCGTTATCTCCTCTCGCTCTCTCTCTCTCTTTTCACACCCTCGACAGATTGCTAGAAATTTGCCTCACTGGTCTGGTCGTTGTTTCAGGTGCTTGGCCGGATCTGCTCCTGACGGCCACGCTTATAGATTGAATCAAGCGGAAGGCAATGTTTCAGATGATTGGGCGATGGTTATCCTCAGTGAAAATAATAACGAAGTCTGCGAAAACTATATGCTCCTCTTGAGATACACGGGTGAAACGATTGCTCGTTTTTCTCGGTTAAGGCTTGGTTGTCAAACCTGTTCATAAATAGTCATGCCTTTTGCTAGTTTGTAGCCAACAACATGCGAGATCAGCTTATTTCCTGACTGAAATAGTGCATGAGTTGTCAACAGCCTCTACTTAAATTTTGGGTTGTCTTTACTACACAGAGAACTGTGGAAAATTTATGTTCTAGAACGGAACGATTACAAAGGACAGGAATATTTTATTTCTTCTTTAGGATATAACCTGTAGGCCTACAAAGATTAATGTGTTTTGTCTCAAGTGGAAGTCTTAATTTCGTCATCAATTTTATCGTTTATTGTCGTTTTGTTTTAAGGAATGCAAGATGGAAAATTCACATCGCTAGTCGTGTGCTTAATGAGTGGATTTTAGAAGTTTATTTCTTTCTTTTCTTTTAAGTGCTCTTGTTTTCGCCTTCCCAACAATATAGTGAGACTTGACTGTTGTGTGAAACATAACCCTTTGAGCCGAGTTAGTTTTGTGGACATCTTTCTTTCGCGTTGTCTGTCCAGTTATGGATCCCAGCTCCTTGCTGCAGACAATAAAACACAATATAATAGTGGATATTAATAGGTCGAATCATTTGTGGGCTAGTACAGTTAAGCTTTTCGAAAAAAACAGTCACTTCGTCGGTTTCACCATGAAGTGACGAACCGTCCTTGTTATCAGTGCAAACATTTGCCATCGTAAAATTAGATTTTGTTGCAACATCACGACCGACCAAGCCCAATTTTAAGGCGCTGAGACGTCACTTTTAACAGTGTGAATTATGCAGGACACGAAAACTTTGCATCTGAAGCAGTGTCCGCATTGGTCACACGGCTTACTGCTTCAGTTTTTTTTTTCCATTAGCGCTCTGCGGCGAATAGCCGCAGCTTGAAAGAAAACGGTGTCTGTTTTGGACACTGTCGGACTCGTGTAGGCCGTGCTGTTTAGCTTGGTGACGTAAGAACGTAGCCGCATGCAGTCGGGTGTGCTATGGCCTTCATTTCGTTGAAACTTGAAATTTTGTGTTGTCCAATACCACCCACCCCAGACGTTAGGGTCTTCTCTACCCGAAGCGACAACCCACCTCTGCCCCCCCCGGCATAAGGGTCCCCTATACCCGAACCGAAGGTTTCCCGCCAATTTACAAATATACAACCTGCGAATCTCGTTTTGCGTTCCACTGCCTCTAGATTACTTTCATAACCCAGCTCAGCACACTCTCCAGAGGACGGCTAGAGTATCCTGGCCGAAACGCCGAGTTGACGCTCACCAGTTCTTCGAAGAACCACACCTCTTCCAAAAGAGACTGATTCCATGGTGTACTCGCAAGCCTACATCTCATGTGACTTCCACCATGACTTCAAATCTTATTTAAATTTGTCCTTTAGCCTCATGCAGCGTGATTCTCGGAATCGAGCGATACATTATCCTCTCCAAGCTCTATCCAGCTGAGCCCAGTTTTAACATTTATTAGGTGCGCATCATGTCGCAACTGAAAACACTTAATTTTCTACCGTAAACAACATTGATTGACCACTGTTTCTTCAAATCTAAGAATGCTAGTTATAGCTGTAGACATCTTAAATTGTTTACCCCCTCTTGACCCAGATGCCAGCAACTATGAACCCTCGGACCTGTCGAGTTTTCACCTTCACAAAATATATTTTCAGATACACGAAGGGTCAACTCCCTTTTAAACAGATTAGCGGTTACAGCGTTCGATTTATTCCCTCAATTGTTGACGTCCAATGTCCCCTTCTTTTCTTAACTCGCCCACGGGAAACCCAAGAAACAAGTTCATTTGCCAAATCTGGCCAGCGATTCCGCGGCGGTGTCGGGTTTTCACCGGGAAGGGCCGGGATTGGCCCGGCCCCTATGGGCCCCGCGGACGGCGCGACCCGGCGGTCCTCAATGGCTTGTAACGCGATCGTGGGACCGGTGCGAGGGTACTGGAGGCTGAGGGCTGTTTGACCGGATCCACCGCTGCGGGTGAGGGGCTTAGAAGCTGCGTCCCACGGTATCCTTTCCCGTGCCTGGGTTGAATCCCACGAAGAGGAGCGATGTCACACGATGCGCATCATTTAGGCGCGCATCGCAGCTCTATACATAAGGGAAACGAAATTAGTTTAACGGTCGGGAAAGGAACGTTTATTCATACAATTTCCTTTTGAGAAGGCTTCAACGAAATTTGCCTTGATTTTTCACCAAATGCAAACAAGAGTCAACCCAACAAATAAACAAAAAACACAATTTTTACAGACAGACAACAGAGTTCTGAAAAAACACGAATATTGTCTTTTCTTTTGCAAAAATATTACATTCGAGCATGATTTAACAAACACAATCAGATTGAAATAATGCTAGCTTGTCCGTTTTGACTCGATGGGTTGGTAAACATGTTCCCATTAGCACCATCATTGATTTGACAAAAAATAATGAATAATTATTCAGATAAAAAGGTGTCTGTCGAAATCTGCAGGCATCTGTTGATGGAAATTCTCTGACAACCCCACACTACCTTGTTCTAGCTTGTTTTAAAAAGTACAGAGATCTCGCAGGCAAGCAGTTTCATTGAATAATTTTTACTAAGTTTGGACGAAATCCAAGCAGTAATTATTCATCTCTTGCATGTAAAATATCATTTTTTTTTCTTTCTCTTTCTCTCAAGATACCGCGACTTGTCGCTCCGCCACCGCTTCACGAAGAGACTGCTCTCCGTTGTCTGCACGGCTACGGTACGTATATTTTACATCGGAGCTACAGGCTCCGCCAAAATAGCATTTCCCACAAAGATTACAGACTGCCTGAATTCGGACACGGTATGCATATTAAACAGACCATAGGAACGAACAAGCTCAGGCACGTCATTGTTATTAAACAAACTTTTGGGGAAAAAATCACTTATTAATTATTTTGACATATGTAAAAATAATAAACGAACGCCAGTGTCAAGAATACGCAACTCTAGCACTACCTTTCAGAGTGAATCATCGTGAAAATCAAGTCTGTGAACTCTCCTTCTGAAAGCATGTTTTGACCCAACGTATTATATGTGGTTTGATGCAATTAAGTATGCAGAGCCTCGCAATATTGCGTAAAACCACAAAAATCCGCATAGTCTTTCTTTTTTTTTCCCCCGTCAATGCTATATTGTCATATCTGCAACTTTACTAAGGGAGGTCCCGAGCATCCCGCGGTTTCAGCTGTTGCGTCTCGGCGGGACACCAGCTCCATTCGGGTGCAATGGCCGGAGTTGGCAAGGAGACTGAACTCGGAGTTGTTTTTTTTTCCATTTTCCTCCCTCGCAATTTCAGAAACTTCGAACCGGCAATAGGACTCCTGCAGCCGATAGGTCGCCTACCGTTTGTTTGAAAAAAATTGCAAGCAGACTTCATGATTACTAAAAAAAATTTAAGTGAAAACGACAGCATACTCCCCGCGACTTTATACCGAAGCGTTCTGAAGAAAATTTTCACCTTTCGGTATCCCATAATCCTCTCACGTGGACTGTATTACAAACTATGGCCGTTTTCCAGTACTCAACTTCAGCTCCGTCCCAGGCTTCAACTGTTTTTTAACTAGCTGACGTTGAAGCTGTAAGCGCAGTAATTAGTTTAATAGTGCCACAAAACATCAAATAAGATGCAAGAGAGCCAGAAATTACAGTAATCCAATTTAATTTAAACACTTCAGGCCCACAATCGGGGATTGGTTTTGGGAAAGAAGCCTGAGACGGAGCCCAAGTCGAGTATTGGAAAAGGGCCAAGGTTCTAATTGTCAGTGCCGACCGACATATCATTGTCAACGAATTCATAACAGAGATGGTTGAAAAGCGCATGTGTAATGCACCAATAACGAGATCTGGACCTGGGCTTCAAAAGCCATGGCCAATCGTTTTAATTTAAGCGACCTCTGCGGGTCCAAACCAGAGTATTGCAGCCTTGGATACGATTGCGCAAAACGTTGCCGTATACTTCCAAAAGTAACATCTGTATATGCTTTCAACTATTAACACAAACCGGTACACATCCTAGGGCGGCCGCATCAGACCCGGTATGTGGTCATACCGTTATTGTGGCCTCCTTCGTCAATCTCCTGTATATTTTTGGTATTAAGAGGCGAACGCACTGCATAGACGCACGAACCTCCCTATACAGATGAGTTTCACCGGGCAACAGTTGCACGTTGGTAATAGACACCTCTTGTGACCTAGATTGATGTTATCATTTGGATGATGTCGATTATCTCTCCATATTGACTTGACCCAGAACGTTCCTTCAAAAAGCTGGCCCCGCGTGAGAGCAGCCGGCCGGTCATAGGCTTGATGTGAGTGGTCCGACGGTAATACGCCCAGGTGTACTGTGGTATTTTACGCCCTCTCCAGCGCACGCATCGGAATCTGTATTTTACAACCTCTCGTGTCGATTTCACAGTGTGAAATGGTATGGCCCCGTTGCACATCACTGTATGCTGTTCGCGACACCTTCAGATGAAACTGTTATTTAATTGGAACAATTTCATTGGCAATTAATTTGCCATTTACTACGGAGATTCTTGGCATGATGAAGGCCTAAACCGTTTACGTCAGTTGGACGACGATGTAACTTGGAAAAGACATCTGTTAAGCATTTTTTTCATGTTCAACCTCAGAATGAATGCCAGTGTTATGAGCTTGCCATTGAAAGGTGTACATATTTTAACAAGTTATTAATTAAACAAGAACTCGTCTTTAGTTTTGAGTGTGATTTTATGACTAAGGCATAGAATCGAGTGTACCACCGTATCGTTCCTAAGTTTAATTACAGTGCACAAACTTGGGATAACAATGATAAAAACTTGTATTTCAACACAACGACATGTGGTGGTCATATAAGTTTTTCACATTTTCAAATGCAGGAGGGATTCGTGTACCATTCGCGAATGGTCCCATCACTGACGGTTCGACCCATGCCTCTGCTAGTATACGTATCGCCGCCAAAAGTGACGTGAACAATAACAGCGCAGGCAGATGTAGCAACCCTGCCTGAAGACTAAGACCATGGGAAACTGCAGTTGTAAATATGTATTGTACAAGTATTCATGTTTCTTATGACCATTTGTGACGACACATATTGGAAGCGGAATTTTCCATTAAACATCACTTCTCAACATGCTTTGGGAAATTCAATTAACAAATCAAGAATCTCTAAATATTGAAACAGTACTGATTTTTCAAACCCAAAATCTCACGAAAGCAATAAAGGTAAATGTTTCGAAAAGAACAAAGGAATAATTTTGAAATTCACTTGATGGTCTCATTTCTGTTCATATGACTGGAAGTCTAGAAATCGATTCGTTATCTACAGAGTTGAAATTGACAAGTCGGGCACAAGACAGTTCTCAAGTCTGTTCACCAATCAGGTCAGGACTAAATAGATGAACAATGGCCAAGAAGTGCATTGTTCAGGGCCTAACTTCCTAGATTTTTGTTCAGTACACAATTTCACATTTTGGACAGCCCAAAGGCAGGGGAATGGGGTAGATTTGTATCTACACGTTAGGGCACGATGCAGACATAAGCAAGGTAGATTGTTGACAAAGTTATACATGCTTTGTGCCAAAGATGAAAACAATCGGCATGTTTTTTTAAGGGGTGGCCCGAGAGGGAGGTCTATACACCCTTGAAAAGAAGCAAGTTCAGGATTTTTAGTTAGGAGAGGAAGGGTAAGGCTGTGAACGTTTCCATCGGCACTCCCTTCGATAATGTCCACTCGGAAATGCACAAAGGGATTCTAACAAATCTATTGGTTGAATCTTCTTGTTAAGTTCAATTTTTATTGACCAGAAAGTGTTGATCAGAATTTAAAGGTGCCTCACTCCCCCCCCCAAAAAAGTCCAAAATCTCCGCCTACTGATACCATACAACTAATACTAAGAAAGCACAAAGTTGTGCAGAATTTGTAGAGTTCTGCCCAGCCAATGTGCCTTGTCAAGAATTTTGATTCCCCCTACCCAAGGTAGGGGAAAGGTAGTTATCTCTTCATTATTATGCATATGTGAGCAGTTCCGCATGAAAGGATAATTTAAGTTCCTGGTACAAGTCTGAGAACATGGTGCATATATATACATTGTTAACATGTATACAAAAAGTAGGGGGGGCTTGCATCACCCTTTGTGTTCTCACATTTCCACGGTAGGTTTTAATTTATATCAGAAAGGAAATGCAAACATGGAGATATCAGTTATTCCAATTCTTTGATTCAGACTTCCTACAACTGGCTACACACTTGGATGAATAAAACAAACTCGCACTTTCTATTGTTATAAATAAATTCATGTCTGTTTAATAAAATGCAAGTACTAGCCTCCTTGGCCTGAAAAATGTTTCACAATGTACAAAATATTACACATTAACATGTACAAATCCACCTCCAAATTTATTACATAGTACACATTGCTTCACTCTAACAGCACTGAATCATCTAATGGTTGGAGAAACTCCTCCAGTAGTTGGACTCTTCAGGACTATTAGAGATAATAACGCATAACAGCCCTTGGTGCTGGCGAACCGTCAGTGTTTACTGCACAGTGATTGATCAACACAGGGATTGAATCGGTGTCATTGGTGTGGTGAACACAGGTGTCATGTGCCACAAGTAGGGAAAATGGTTTAGACGTAGGGTTTGCATCCAATCACAAGAAATTGAAAGATGTAATCTTAACATTTCCTGTCGAGGAATATAAATACTTCAAAGATTTAAAACAATTGATATCAAATAAATTGCCTTCTGGAAAGGGAGAGAATCGTATGCATAAGCTTATGACGTATGTATGGCGATATATGCACCAATGACTCCTCATTCTATTCCACCATGCACTGCAGTAAAAACTGCCTTATATCATCATTAAATTGGGCTCTAGGACTGATGGGATGCTACACAGGTACAAATCCAGGACAGCTGTACATTAGTCTCCTCACTGGCCACAAACACCAGGGCCCAAAATCATAAAACTCCTGGAAAAGATACCACTGGCCAAGTTCATGTGCCACTCAAACACCTGCTGGGAACCAGTCACACGATAGAAACACTGCCTTCTTGGCTGGTAACCACCTTTTGCTTGAGCAAATATCTCAGTGCTTAAGTTTGGCCAACATTTCTAGGCTGCGGCTAGAAATGATGCATGACTCTATGGAAGTGGCCGTTACAAGTTCCCATTGAGCCGTAATTTGAAGCTACAGCCAAGTAATCACAAAGCAGCCTGAGTGAATTCCAATCCTTAGCTGATCACTGGACTTGGCCCAGTGAAAGAAGGTACTGCACTTACGATGCAATGAGTATATAACCTATTGCTCTATGTACTATTAGTCATTTGAACAGATATGTACCGTTAGTTAACATACATAATTTAACCCTGTGCAAAAAAGTGACCAACTTTTCCCAGAATGGACTGCAGATCCCAAAATGCGTGATACCTGGCAGCCAATGGTGCCACTTGTGAAACCCGACAGTGTAAGTGAATTGAAGGTCACAGAAAGGTGTAATTATCTTCAACATAATTATTTGCTTCCTAATGTTCTTTATTAACCACTTCGGACCGGGGCATTTTTCAACGTTGA